CCAGTAATCACTATATCATCCACATAAACAAAGTGTGTTGTAAGTTTGCTATCCTGTCGCCTTATGAATAAGGTATGGTCTGCACCACTCTAAGTGTACYMWACTTTCTTCATGGCCCCACAAAGCCTCTCAAACCATGCACGAGGAGAMTGCTTTAAACCATATAATGCTTTCCTCAGTTTACACACCTTTCTATCAAAGTCATAGCCTGGTGGAGGTTCCATAAATACCTCTTCATGAATGTCACCATTTAGGAAGGCATTCTTCACATCCAGTTGATGAAGTTCCAATGAAAAATTTGCTGCTAATGACAATAGAACCCGAATTGTGTTGAGCTTTGCTACTAGGGCAAAGGTTTCTTTATAGTCAATCCCTTATTTCTGAGTAAACCCCTTTGCCACAAGCCTGGCCTTGTACCTTTCAATGGACCCGTCCTCCCTATGCTTTACAGTAAACACCCACTTGCACCCAACAGTGCTCTTCCCCTCTGGCAGATCCACTAATTCCCAAGTTCTTGCTTTCATTAGGACTTTCATTTCTTCATTCATAACTTCTTTCCACCTTGGATCAGGCACGGCCTCTGAGTACCTAGAAGGAACATGAACAGAGGAAAGAGCAGACACAAAGGAGTGATAGGCTGGAGATAAATGTGAGTAAGAAACAAAATCAGCAATGGGATGCAGAGTGGTACAAGAACGGATAGGCTTACGGAGAGCAATAGGAAGGTCCAAATCAGAAGTATGAGTGTTGGAATTACCTTGGATTACAGAGATAGATTGATCCGAGTCCAACTGGTTGCTATCATGAGTTTGAGGGTCATTTTTCCTTCTGTTGTAGGTGATTCGTATCTCTTTCTGTTGCCTACTGGAGCCTTTAGGGACATCTGTAGTATCAGGAGAAGTAACCGGCATAGTGGAAGCCTCACTAGGTTGACCCGGGATGCCACAATTACGAGTAGAAGAAGAGGATGGAAGGCCCGAGGCAAATAGGGGAACAAAAAAAGAGGGAGAATGAGAATCCTTTTCTATCTCACTAGTCTCCCCCTGAAGAGGATTCTGAGAAGACTGAAAATAGGGTTGAGACTCAAAAAAGACCACATCTTTGGTAACATACTTTCTCTTGGAGACAGGATCATAACACTTGTAACCCTTTCGTGTAGGAGAATACCCCAAAAATATTGCTTTCGTAGCCCGAGGATCCAGCTTGGTCTTCTTTGGATCCTTCACATGTATGAAACATATACAGCCAAAGACCCGTAGAGGAAGAGGGAAGTCTGGAAGACTAGGACACAGAACAGAGAAAGGGGTTTTCATACCCAACACCTTAGATGGCATCCGATTTATCAGATATGATGCAGTAAGTACAGCTTGAGACCAGTATTGCTTGGG